CTTTTTTGTTCCTTTTTATTTTGCAGCCTTATAAGAATGAAGAAACAGAATTCAAGACTGTCTTGCTGGCTTCAGGCTACCACACATTTGTATCCAACAAGTACTTCAGAAATACTATTCATGATGTTTTTGTGGGGCGGTTGAGGAGAAACGGCATGACGAAAAATGGCAGCCGTACCAACAAACTTCAAAAACCCGTTCATTTCCTTATGATAGCAGATGCTAATTGTTAAATTGTTAACTTTTACAGCTTTCAATATGCTTAATTTTTTATTTTTTTTTGGTACACTAGCTGATTTGCCAAGCTCGCGCGTTCAAACTAGTTCAGTAGAATTAGTAGAATCAACCTGGGCAGGATGTATCCTTACAAAACGACGCCATCCACAAACACAACTTTTAAGCATCATTTTGAAATTTTGACGGTAAATATCAACAAAAATTAAAAAAAGAAAAAACTGGTGAGTGCATGTTGTTAACAGAAAAAAATTTGAAATAAAAAGTAATGTTTGTCTGACAGATGGAGAAAGATTATTCATCACATTTGTAAAAGTTTCCAAAATGTTCAAGATTTCGAAGAACAACCAACAAACCGAGAGAAGAGTAATGATTGTTACAGACATTCTCAAGACATTCTGGTTCTGTCGATCTCTTCTCGTTCTTTCCGATTGTTCTGTGCAAACTCCTGGGACTTTGTACCTACGAATTTTGTAAACTATGAGCAAGTAGAGAATTGTGCCGAAAAGGATAGGGAGAAATGTCGTTAGAACAATGAAAAGGATTAAATGAATCTTAAACATTGTTGCTACATCTCCATTGGACCATTCTTCTGAGCAATACAATTCATCCATGATTTTCACCAGTTTGTAACTATAAAGAAAAGGTGAACAAAGTACAGCGGTAAAGAGCCATATTCCTGGGATAATATACTTGAGTCTCGATCTGCTAAAGCCTCCCTTGAATGGATGGGCCACGGCGTAATACCGATCGATGGCAATAAAAATGCAACTGTATAAAGAAATAGCGAAGGAGACATCGGCAAGATACGGCAAAAGCTTACAAAGTGCTTGACCTAAGCCACCATGTACAAGCCATGTCTTTTCATGTGCTCTGATAATATTCGAGATTTTTTTGGGAATCTCCAAGAGGGTGAGGATAATGTCACTGACTGCCATGTTTGCCACAAGGATATTCGTCGTGCTTTTCAAACGGTTGTCTCTGGAAACTGCTAGTATAACGGAGATGTTTCCAAACAGAGAAACCAGGAAAAGAAGACARTAAGCTACAATCTTGATGACTCGTATGGACAACGCTTCTTTTTCTCCCGGCAAAAAGTAAGTGTAAGTCTCATTCCACCACAATATTCCATCGGTGAAGTTAGTAAAATTAAAACTCACCCAGTTGTCCATGGTTGAATTCTTTTTCGTATGGATTTTTCTTAAGAAAGTCAAAGATTGCTTGCTGCAAGAGGTCTTCGTTTGAATAACCCTTTTTTTTTTCTCACTATCGAGCCAGCTGCTTCAGTTATACTGAGATATATATGGCTAGGCCTCGGTATCTGTTGTGGTAAACAAGCATTAGCTGATCAATTATTTCACATTAGATATTTGCTTTTCCTAAAATATTAAGATAAGGAGGCAATAATGGAGTTTTAAGTCACTTATATCAGGAAAATGTTAATTTATTTGCCTATTGTTGTGAATGAGTGGTCAAATGGCACTTGTTAGATATCTGGTTAATCAATAAATTGCACTCACACAAAAATTAAGGTCTCAATGATCGCAATCTTTGTATTTTGTTTAGTCCTCGGAACTTCGTTTTTTCCAGTCCCACCTTGTTAGAGATGGTTTTCCAAAAAATAAACCTTCAACTAAAATCTCAAAAATGCCTGCGCTACGACTGAAAGAAACTGTAAAAAAACCTTGTTTGGATTGGCAAGAAAACAAAACCACCTTTCCACCTTTATTCGATTTTGCCTTCCTCCCGCAAAACCTTCGGATTGGATTTCTGAGTTAACCGTGCCTTCTGCCTTGAGCCCAGATTCTGTTTCAGGGTTTGATCTGTAGGTAGCTTGCCCTGACTCACATCAGCCGAGAGCCAGTTGATAAAAGTTTTCTATTTTTGTTTACTGAGATATTCAGTGATCACCTACATTAATCACTTGAGCTGAGAAAAATGAGAAAAAATGAAAGATAACTCACAGTATAAGAAGGTGACCCGCGGACAGTGATGGTTCTCTTCAAGCTAGTGGCTGATTTTTATGTGAAACTGCAACGACGATTCCGCTTTCAGGACTGATCAACACACGTACACTCACGATCTTTTGGCTAGCGAGTTTTAAGTACTAAAATATTCAATTAAGAAAAGAAAATATAATGAGTAGCAAAACTTCCCTAGATACACTCAAACATGACTTTTCGTGTTTAGGGTGAATCATGAACACTCGAGAAARAGCCGAAAATCTGAATACACTTGAAGTTAGAGTTAATTTTAGAATAATGGAAGATCTAGTAAGATTGACTAGAAAACTGCGATGAAAAGTGCGCATCAAATGTTTACCCCGTCTTCTGCATTATACGTTTTCACAAAATCGCATAAGTCGATTACCTTCAAAGTGTTCCTTTTAAAACTAGATACAGAGTAAAACTAAATGAGCAATGACTTTTGTGAATATATAGTTCTGAAATATTAATTTTGGGCCGTATGAAATCCATTGTTTAGTTTTGAAGTAGATTATGCACTATATTTAAAGAATCTCAAATATCTCATAATTAGCTAGATAGATTTTTTCAAAAATCCCTACAAATGGAGGCATTTAGTATATAATTATGTGGTACGAAGCATTTTAGTGTTGAACGCTCTGCAAGGCTAAAATTATTTTCTAAACGAAATCAAATATTTCATCATAATCACGTGTTATGACGTCCGATCTCATTAAAAACTGCATCAAACATTAATTCAATCTTTATGTGACTTATGTGCGAAAAAGATTTGCAATCGGATAAAACACGTTTATGCACCAGCGTTCCAAAAGTGGAAGGTAGCAGTCAACCGTGAGGGGGTCCAGCCACCTTAAAAGGAATATGCCCTGAAGTCATGATCAACAAGGTTTTCATTAGACATTGAAAATAGTGGGGATCAACGCGGAAATTTACAATGCGACTACATTAACCAAGGCTATCAAAACAAATTATAAATCAAATTCACAATGAATCACGTTTTTGACTCTGAATAAGAGCAACAAATAGTGATGACAAATTCTGGAGTTTTTAAAAAAAACTGTTTCAGTTGTTCGCTCCTGATCACACACACACAAAGTAAAATCTATGTTTTTATGTGCTATTAAAGGGGAAAATGTGAAACTTTGTGCAGATCGTGGTATAGTTGAACTTAAAAATTGTGCATTATTCAGAGTAAGTTGTAGTTTGAGCAAAAGAAATGACATCGAAAAAGTAATACGTTTACTGAGGCTTTTGCAGATGAGACTACATTTTTTCCAATTTTAATACTGCTTTTCAGATTTCAGCTAATAATTCTTTGCTTTATTTTACATTTTGACAATTTCATTGAGGTTTTTAAGGATCGCCGTGCATTTTCTTATTATAGAGAGATTAAGATTCTCGTCTATGGCAAACGTGAAACGYCAGTTGACCATTAAAAAATTCTTTAAAATTAGTGAAAAGGAATCGCAAAAATCTCCAAGTAGTAAATAAACAAAAAGCCTAATATGATACAACAGAAACCTAGCTTGGGCTACCTGTGTTTAATAAGAGTTTCATTTCGCCCAGTGTTTCTCGGACAAGAATAGTAACGCCTGGAGAAAACTACCCATTTCTGGTTAAAAAACTCTAAGTTACTGTAAAATGTCTTCTCCAAATGAAAATTGGCAGACAACAAGACCAACTATCTGTTCAAGAGTTAGTTATATGTTCAATAACGAGCTTATGAGTGATGTTAGCTTTGTCGTTCCGGTAAAACTGGGCGAGGATGGAAACAAGAAAAGCAAAATGGAGATCCCTGCTCACAAGTTTGTGCTATCTATCAGTAGTCCTGTTTTCTTTGCAATGTTCTTTGGCGACTTGGCGGATAACACACACTCTGTTTCCTTACCTGACTGTGAGTACAACAGTTTACTTGAACTGTTTCGCTTTTTGTACTGCGAGCAAGTCGAGTTAAACGAAGATAATGCCTTACAAGTTTTGTACTTGGCCAAAAAATACATTGTACCTTCGCTTGTTGAAAAATGCATTGAATATCTGAAACAAAACGCGAATATTTCAACTATCTTTACCGTACTGGCCAACGCTGAAAAGTACGAGGAAGAATATCTTGCCAAGAGGTGTTGGGCATTGATTGACAGACAGACAAAAGAAGCCTTGGAAACTGAAGATTTCTTAACTATTGAGAGACAATTGCTTGAGTCACTAGTTGTGAGAGATTCTCTAAACGTCAAGGAAGTAGACTTGTTCACTGCAGTGGACCACTGGGCAACGAAAGAATGTGAGCGATTGAATTTGAGTTGTGATGGTACTTCAAAAAGGACTGTTCTTGGGGACAAAATCGTTAAAGCAATTCGTTTTCCACTCATGAGCAGAGATGAGTTTAATGGCACAGTGCTTGGACAAAAAATATTAAATGACAAGGAAACCTCTAGCATTGAAGAATATTACAACTCTTCTTCCCTAGTTGAATTCTCACAAGTTAAAAGGGATGGCCTTCAGCTACAACGGTGTGGCCGTGGGTATGAATATCGCACACCAGTAACTACACACGTGATAATGCATCATTTCAGGCGTAAAGAATGTATTTGTTTCTCGGCAGATAGAGATATTGTCTTGCATGGTGTTTGCATGTATGGATCCATAAACAATAAGTACACAGTGTTCATTGAAGTTAAACAAAATTCCAGCCATGGCCCTCTTGAGGCGACAAAAACAGGGGAATATGATTCTATACCGATGAAGGATGTATTAGGATTTCAATGGGATTCAACAGTTGTTCATGGCTTTGATATCTTGTTTGACATGCCAGTGCTCATAAAGAAAGATGCGTGGTATCATGTCCGCTGCCATGAGGAAGCAGCTAAAGTTGGTCCAGTTATTCATTACAACCAACCCATTGATGAAGGCTTCCGTTATGCCAAGTCTCCTGGTGTAACCATAACCTTTACGAACCACAAGCCCATAGAGGAAACTGATTACGAGGAGCACATTGCTCACCTTATATTCACTTTAGACTAAGATCTATTTATTTAAGCTGTATAAAGGGCCATTAAAACAGACTCCTCCAGAACTGGTGCTCACGATCAGTCTTAGAATGCTGAAATTTCTGATCAGAACTCTAAAAGGAAAACAAACAGTTTGGGAAAACCTTAGTGAAGGGAAGTCAAATACATTTCCTTAAAATGAAGCTACTGCATGTATCACGATTTGTGTCATCCAAGTATAATCCGTATTTCACACTTAGTGCCATTGAAGTTTTTCACAATGTAAATATTGGCTAAGCATTTGGGGGAACTTAATTTTCATACGTTGATGTTTATGTCATTCATTTAAGTTCATTGAGCTTTGATTTACAAACAGGGTTTTGAAGGAGTTTTGCATCATTGATATTTGATTCTAGTAAAATTGAATCTAGTAAAATTTTTAATCAACCCCAGGACTACAGTAGTTGTGATTAATGAATTGACAGCCAGCAGGACACATGATCTTCTCACTTTAAATCATTCCATTTGCATCACATTTTTGAAGCTATTTCTATGTGACAATTTGAAATGTCATTCAAGTTGGAAAAATGTTTTAGATAGTGGTTTAATTGGATTTGTAAAGTATCAGTGGCAGAACCAGAACAATTCAAGGGGGGTTAGTATTACCTACATTCAGAACTGCATCACCAGGCATCCTTCTAAGTAATTCAAATAATAATATCTAAAAAATTCTTATTATTTTTCAACTTCAAAGGGAGGTGACTAATCATCAAATTCACCCTCCTTTTCACCTGCCTGCCTGCTGGTAAT